TCACTAGCGCTGGTGCTGTGCCCTTGGATCTAACTTTTGTTCAGTTTAGTGGCCTATGCGCCAAATTAGCTGTTCTAACACTCTGAATATATTTTCCCCAATGAAATAAATAAAAAAAAGCAAAAAAAATCAAAATGCAAAAAAAAAGAGGGCGTTGCCCCAAATTAGTGACGGTCTTAGCTTGTCAGAATAATCGACAGACAAGCTGACATCGTTACTATTTTGGGAACCTTTTTTGCATTAAGGAATTGCACAGACGAACCACAGTATGTAGTACACCTCTAATTGGACATGGAATCAAAGTTGGAAGAAATTTCATACCCCGGTTTGGAGGGGATAAGAACTTATCGCTTTGGAAATGGCAAGACTTTTGTTTTCTGGCACTATACTGCTGGTATAATGGTTTTAGCAAACAATGTATCGTCAGTGGATGAATATGGTTATGGGGAAGCGAAAAGAACGGGGATAACTTTAACACAACGATTGCTAGAATTTCTACAGTGGATGACTGAAATGGAGCGCTATGCTCCTGAGTTAGACCAGCCCGAGCATGTTTACACATTAAATACAGAACTCGAAATTATACTGCACCCGTTAACGTCTATGTACATCCCTTCTATAGAATTCAAACAAGAAGGTCGAAAGCTCAAATTGTCAGCTTTCACACTACTTCAGATCTTAGAAGTTATAAGTTAAGGTAGTGTTATACTGGTTAGTGTTGTTGTTGTTGTTACATTGTATAAGATTCTAATATTCAATTTTACTTTGTAGATGACCCCGCCACCGGCAAAGAAAGTCAAGACAGCCGCTGAGACCGCTCAGCAGAAAGAAGCCGCCCTGGAGGTCCAGGTGGCCCATCTGCGCCAGGCCAATTTCGACTTGTCCAAAGAGCTGCACCTGGCCAAAAGCCTATACGACTCTCTGCTGAAGAGAGTTGACAGTGAGCGGGAACAACGGACGGTCGCAGAGCGCCAGAAGCTGAAGGAGCAAGCGGCAGCCGAACGGGCGGCGCTGCGGCAGAAGGTAGAGGGTGCAGCCTCGACCTCGACTGACAGCAGCGAAGCCGTCAAGGTCTGGTTGGATCCGGAGGCCGTCAAGCGGGCTGAAATCCGTATTACTTTGGACGGAAACATCCAAAAATATTCGAAAGAGCTGATTAAGCTCATGGTCGGTATTTTACCTATTTTACATCATTTTATTTTTATTAATTGAATATTTGTTGTAATTGTAATCGGGTTTTTAGGTTGACCAGCAGAAGTGCAAGGAAGAAATCGTCAAGCTGACAACTGCAATCCTTGCCATCGAACAGGGGAAGCTTCCGCGGATTATTCCTGAGTGTTTGAAGCCGATTGCTAACGCCAATTATACTGCCTGCTACCCGGAAGAAGCCAATCAGCTCCGCGACACCAACATCAAGGCCATGATCTGGGAAGTGCGTTGGCGTGTTGCCAAAGCTGCCTCGGACGACACCCAGAAGAAGTTGGCTGGGTTGACCCGCCAAGGCAGCGAACTGTTGGAGAGTGTTGCCGCGATTTACGGGGGGCGCATTGCAGAATTGTTGGTCACGGGTTGTATTAATCGCTACGCTGAGATGAAACATAACCCGTATGCGCATGCATATCTGAAATACCTGACTGTTACCGCTACCACCACCACCACCACCACCACCACCACCAGTGAGTGAATGCAGTTGTTGTGTGTGTGGTTGTCAAGACGAAGGCGGCGGCGGCGGCGGCGGGTGCTGGTTGGTGGTGGTGTGGTCCATATTAGTGGTGGTTATAGTTGTTGGTGGTGGTGGGCGGTTAAGGTAGTATGTTAGCGCTATTGTTAATCAGGTAACGGGGATTTTTTGCATGCCGTTGTTATTGTAGTGTATGTTCTGAAGGTAATTGCCGCTGTCTGTTATTTGCTGATTAATAAAATGATGTTTCGGGTACAGTAGTTGCTTTAAGTAAAATAAAATTAATATAATAAAAATAAATAGGTAAAACACACACACACACACACACACACAGTACACAGGGAGAGAGCCCGCCCCACGGAAGTCCATGCTATTTGTACGGGCGGGGGCGGGGGATGCTATCCCGACGCGGGAAAGGGGCGGGGGATGCTATTTGGACGCAAAAAAAATGCTATTTATTCCGCGAGTACTCTTCTCGTGTCGGATTGTAAAATTTTTGCAACAGTTAACGCTTGAATGTGACCTTTCAACTACTGGAAGTTTTTTGCAACAGTTTGGAAGTTATTCCACTGGTATTTAACATCGCGATGTCGGGGAGACGAGGTAAAAGAACCAACGCCAACGCTCTCCAACCACCGGCAAAGCGACCAGCAAGGGAGACATTAACGTATCACTCCCAAACAGAACTGTTACAGTACAGGTGAACAAAAATTATGGAGACTGATCTTGGCCGTTGCACCTTGTAGTTGAATAATACGAATGCGGTTTGCTCCTATTATCTGATCTGATTGTTATTGTATTTGTGCGCGCAATTTGTGGTTCTAATTTGTTACATAGTTGTGACTTTCTCGGATCAGACTGCGCCGTCTCAGTCTCTCATGTGTTTTGACGGTTTTGACGAGATAATACATAATACACAATCATAAAGTGTGGTCGGCAAGACAGGAGGCAGATGAGCAGGTGTACATGTATGTGACTGTGTAGTGATTGTCTGCTCTATTGACCACTTCGCTGGACATCGCTGACAGCCGATGCGGCCAGCTCTGCTTGACCGCTAGCCGGCTGAGAGACCATCACTCGTCTGACTCTTTTACCAGAAACAGACAAACAATCAATCGCGCGCTGTTAAATTACCAGTTGCGCCAGCTATTTGCTTTTACGACCGCCTTCGCAAAAAAATGCATAAGAAATGAACGACTCATCCGTTCTACAATATCTAACTTGTTCCAAATAGAGGAATGTTTGTTTTATAAGGACATACTCAGTTTAGAAAATCAGTTATTTATAAAATCGGAGACCTGCTATAAATTAGTCCCCCTTAACGCTTGAATGTGACCTTTCAACTACTGGAAGTTACCAGCCTTCCCACCCTTTTTTAGCATCATGTTTCTACTCTCTAAACTTCCGCATTGGTACTTTGTAAGATATTGATTAAAGGCCAGCTCTCACTCGCGCAGCTCTCTCGCAATGGTACGCACAGAACCGCACCGGAAGGTGCACTCATACATCCTGACCACGAATCAGGATCCATCACCTGGCCACGAATCAGGTGCCGTAAAACATCCCTGGCCACGTATCAGGGAGCAGCTATTCACCTGGCCACGCATCAGGTGTCCCACTCCACGCATACGCTCCTTCCGGTGGTCGAGCATGTTCTGAGGTTTCCACGAGACTCCGCGGCTGAGCTCAGGCTGGCCACATGCCCCAACACAATCGCCGGCGTTTCTCTTATTATGTCGTTAAAGATTGTATTAAACTGCAGTGATTACGCTTTCAGCTTTCGATTCAGTTGTTATGCATCTGTTGAATAAAAGAAACAAGGGCCTCATTTGCATTCATGAAAAGTAATGTTCCTGATTTATACGTACCCAAATAAAGCAAACTCGAAAGCGTGGATTAAGAGCTGATGTGTTTGTTCTTCCTTTATTTGTTTTGTAAATCTTAGACAAAAACGTAATTTGTATGGTGAATACATAGTACATACTATAATTTTCTTAGTGCTTCGTTTGTAATTTTAAAAGCTCATATTTTTCAATACCGTATTTCTTTCGTCTGCATACATATATGTAACACATTCAAAGGCATTTCGTAACGAATGCTGCTGAAATTGTCTAAGACGTCCTGCGGATTCATCATTTCATCTACTTCATTTTCTGTTGACCTGATAAGTCCTGATTGTATTTTTTGGATTTACAACACTATTGGCCAAGTGCTGGTGTCGACAAAGTTACGGCTTCATTTAATTTCCGTTTCTCTTATTTTCATAATGATTTCCAGCAGGGATGTAGTCAATGGAAGCGTTTCTTTTCCGAAACTGAGAGTCAAAAATTAACGGTAAGCCTATTTGACTTGTACCAGCACCCGTAACACAACATATCTGAGCACGTATACAACTTTTCTTTCCTGTCGAACGTGGCTAGCACACTATCTTATATCTATAAACTGGTGTGGTCGAGTTTTGCTGCATGCCATAATAGCAGTTCCATTATTTTACTGTAATCAAGATTATGTCGAACTCCGGTACATCGATATCAACAACTTTACGCGTGAAAACCAACTTGGTAACTTCACTTATTTTCGTGTCTGCATAAAAATCATCAAGTCCAATTAATACAGTACCGTGTAATCTCTGCATTAGCACAGAAAATGATAACGTTAAAGTTATTGGCGCGCCAGCAAAGTTATCCACTAATCCACATACTTTGAAGTTTGAACATGAAGACATAATGTGAAGTTGTGAACTCAAGGGCAAGAATAACTGAATGTAATCAAAATACTGTAAATACGACATTTAATTACGTTGATCTGCCTACGAATAAACTATGCATAAACAAGTGGCGTCAACATTAAATCACGATTCATAGAATAAAGACCGTCAAGAAACATCTTTCCTTCTCGTCTTCCACTGCCATCGCGACCCGTTTGCATTCATATGAAACACTGTCCACAGCGCTGAAAAAGTTTAGAAATGGCACTGAGTAAATAAACGGTAATTTGTTTTGAAACGCCAAAGGCTTTTTAAAGAGGGTGTTCTGAAACGGCAGAGTAGTATGTTAATGGCTTTTTGGCGGCAAAGGTAAGATAAAGTTGAAATGCAAACTAAAACGGCAAAGGCAAATGGACAGCAAAGGCGAAGTTGGCGGACCCGAACCAAGCTTACCAAGGCATTAAAATTTATGGTTACTTAGGCATACTAGTGCTAAGGGCGTGACAGACGTGGGTTACCAACAGACAAAACATCCCGTTTTTTTTAACATGGAGATCTTCGCTTCGATTCGGTCGATGACATAAGAAGAAACTATGGTGCATGCACTTCTTAAAGATAATAATATTGAAGCTTAAACATTCAATTTTTTTCAGTTGCGAATAAAGCAGACCGCACCCAATGAATAACGGCTAACACGATGAAAAAGCAGATCAGCATCTATCGCGTACATAAAAACAGTTATCAGTGGTTTTTGGGAATCTTAGGTGATCCTTTTATAAAATAGGCGACCTCCGTTCTGCACTCATTGTTGCAGGCTGATTTGCGTATCGATACCAAATACTTGGTGCTGCAAGTACCCAACGACCCAGTGTAGCGGTGATAGCCATTGTTGCCTTCCTGGCTCTTTACTGGTATACTGTACCAAAATTCCGGACGATTCCATGCCCAGTCAGTGGTGCCCTCAGTGCCCGGTCCTCCCCAGATAATCTTCTCAAGACAGCCGCCGAGGTCCGCTCGTTCCAACAAAATCATGAAGGGATCGCCAAAGCACGGGTGTTCGCCTGCGTAGCGTTGTGTGCAATATGGTTTGCCTATGCACGAAATGACGAATGTCAACAGTGAAGACATAGTTTATTGTCAATAATGTCGAATTCTGCTATTTCGGATCACAGTTGAAATCGGAGCAGAGATAAACATACACACGGAAAAAACTATCTGCGCCAAAATATAATACCAAGCATGCGAATAGTGCTACAATGCAAATATCAGAGTGCAGTAGCTCATCAGTTTTTCTGCCGTGCATTTCTGTCTTCTTATACTGGCGATGTTATCTACGTACGTAGACAAGGGGATTATTTCATACTGCATAGCAGAATTACTTTTAGATATTTCATGACTGCACGGTTTCCGGCTATATTGGCTGCTGAATGTTAAAGAGTTTTGGCAGAGCGAAATATAAAAGGAAGTTTAAACGAACTGCATGCTAAACTTGCTTTCGCTTGCCTCTAGCGAATTTAGGGCTCCTTTTACCAGCGATTGTTCGCTTCAACATTATCCGAATGATTACATACAGTACGCTCCAATATCGCATAAAGCTAATGAAGCAGCTGCCTAATTAAACATCACAATTATGGAAAGGTTCAAGAAACAGGACTAATAAAAATTCAGAGAGCATGCCACACCAATACAAGCTTGTCTCAAAATATCCCATTATGATTGTCTTATCTACCGCAGCGACAAATTTACTCCTGTCAAAATTTTCAAAGTTAATTGTTATAATATGCGACACAAAACCGAATAAATAAGGTTAATACTTCTATGTTCATCATATTATTTTTATCGATATTTGGCATGCTTCGCTGTTTTCTATATTTGAATATTTCGCGAGAAATATTCAAATATACATTATTAATGCGCTAGAAATGCGCATTAATAATATATATGCCGTATGCGCTGTATTAATGCGCTAGAAATTACGGGACAAGCAGGCACAATACACATACAGTATTACGGAGAACTGTTGACCCAGACCGCACAATGTATCTGTAGCAATGCAGGAATTCTGATAATGAGAGTTACTCCGTTTATGATGCAAAAAAAATTATTTTTTAGAAAGCGGCTAAAAATTTAGATGCCGTGGAAAAATGAATATGCATAAGGACAAAACCATTAGGGTTTGATCTACTAGAACTGTACGGGAACATTTGAAAATCTAAACATTAAAGATAAAAAATTTAGAAATAACCCTCCACAGGCAGCCATCACCCTCCAATACCGTAATGCACGGGAAATATCAAATATATAAACTAGGAATCGCACAAGTTATGGTGAAATTGTTAATTTGTTTATTGCTTTTTTTTAAAAAAATCGTTTAGCGTCAGAAAATTTATTCCACAGTAATCGCTATTTTGAATTTTTGTAAGAAGCCGGTAATCATTGTTCACAGTTCATTAAACGGTAATATTCTCAGGCAATTGGCATATAATAATATTAGACGGGTTCAGTAGGTTGAATATGTTATATAATAATTTACTGTGCAGTCTGTGCTTACCAGAGCTGTGACAATTCGAGCATTGCGTCGTCGTAGTTGTTGTGGTGGTTGGTGGTGTTGGATTTTTCATGGCCAACAGGAACGGAGAAGTGGCATTCTCGCCTTTAAGAGCGGCTTGGCTAAAGTAACTCGCTGCCTTTTGACCAATCTAAAAAAATCGCATATCCTACTTTGAAACAGATGCTGCAAATTGAAATTAATTTTTCTTCTAAACAAGTTATATGGCAATCATCATTATTTATGCAGATTACCCTTTCTTATGCTGCAAGTTTCTTGGATTAAGATGTCGAAAAATTATACTCACGTCGGCCAAAGAGTCGTTGATCGCGACTTCAAATCCCTCTTCTAGTGCCGCTGAAAAACCGGCAAATACGTTGAGAACGAGAATAGAATAGTGCAAAAAAGTCAGACTGCGCATGATAACGACGAGTTGATGAGTCATTTTAACAGCGATTAAGTTAAATTCACGCTAAGTGAAATTAACGAAGAAGTTTTGGAAAAAATGTGTGAACTGCTCCAAAGTGACCCGTTCCTCTCATTTAAGTAGGCCTTCTTTTCGCAAGCTCAGCTTGAGAATCGAAGAATCTTGGAAACCGCCCGGTAAAAATGTGCTGCCTTTGAATGTTCAGCAAACTTTTTAGCATTACCACTTGAGACGTACTATTGTGATACCTGGTACTCTCAAGTTAGTGCATGATTAAAACAAGGATCTGCAGTTTTTGAAGAACCAGCAGCCCGAATAACAAGGCAGTATGGTCCTTTTCGGCAAGTACACTTGTGGCAGGCAAAAGCTGAATTCGAGAAAACATTGAAATCGGGCCCAAGAAGTGTGTTGGTTTTGAATATTCAGCAAATATGTCACCTTAGCCACTTGGGAAAATTGATATGGTGCCTGGTATTCTCCTAAGCAATACCTAACCCGAACAGCAAACTGCTGCTTTTCTGGAATCCGCGATCAAAACACTTCAAAATGTAGTCATTTTCGGGCAAACTTGTAAGTACTTGTGGCAGTACCCAGTACCTTGTAAAAGGTAGCGTATAACGCCGGCTTTCATGGAAGGTTATTCCGGGATAGCGTTTTCATAGTTTAGCATTATGACTATGTTTATTACGGAGATCAGCCGTACATGTAGCAGTTGGAAGCAGCAATTTTCGGTATAAAATTTTTCATGTAAAATTGTTTCTCTAGTAACGACAACGAGAAAATTACTACTGTACAACGCACTTTTTGGCTCTGTCAAAGCTTACAATAAAGAATATAAGTAAACTGAAGTAATACCGCTGCTGATCTGTGCTTGACGAAGACGATAAGAACGATTATTACATAAAGTTTTGGAAAGCTGCATTAAATCTGTGCTGTAGCTGTACATTTGTGTAATATCAACACAGTTACGTAGTTACAAACCACATTCCAGTTTTCGATTCCTGGATGAAATATTTTGAAATATTTCTTGGTGCGTTGAGAGTTCCTCTATACGGCAAGAATATTGTCAGCGTCGTCGATTCTGCGGTTTCTATTTTTGACCGAAACTATGAAAGGTCTCGATATTCAACGTTAATGGAAAACACGATATCTATCCATGCGGCCACCGCCACAAATTTTTGTATGCATCATATAGTGTTGGCCGTGTTGCTATCAGTTGCACATACATATACGATGGGAGTATATTAGGCTGCGCGGCAGAAAGTCATTATTATTAGTCATGGGACTTGTGGTTGCGCTCAACTTATAGGAGACGGTTTTCCGTGAGGATTATCCGTCACGAGATAGCTGGCGGCAACATATTTGCTTTTCCGGATATTTCGCCTAAGGAAAATTCTTTTCTGTGACATTTGCCCAGATGGCCATATGACGGGTCGTTGTTGCACCGGCTGTCCAGCCGTCCCCAGCGTCGACTGTGAACGCCATTTCTCGCTGGAAATTTTTTAACTGAAAAAGAATTTTCTTACAATAAAGGGTTTTGCAACTTGACGTGCTTACTTGTAATTCATGCATATATCACCACGAGGCATCACGTAAGACTAAGGCATAAAATCGAATGCGCACCACGTACGATGACGTAGCAGTAGAGGAGAGCAGTAATGAAGACAATAATACTATTTATGCAGAAGTTGTTTGTTTAGTATTCGCCGGGTTTTAAGTTTTTTTCATACATTTGAGCAATGTCATTTCATAAATATATTTTCGCGTAAAATGCCAGACTGTGTAGCGCCAGGGTGTGACCTAGGACGAGTGGGTTGCACGGAGAATCGTTCGCGGTTTTCTTTTCCCAAGAATCATGATCGGCGATCTGCGTGGGTACGCGCTCTTTCTAGGACCAATTTTACTGTTTCTGAATCATCTCGAATATGTGAAATTCATTTTGAGGAGCGTTATATCATACGCACTGATATTATCAAAAGGCCGGACGGAACGATTTTAGAATGCCAAAGAGGCAGATCGAAACTTTCACAGAATGCAATTCCCACCATATTCCCTGATAGACTTTCAGTGCACTTTTGTCTAGTACCGATTTAGTGGAACGAGCAATGACAGTTCTACAAGAACTTAAAATCAACAGCCAAGAAGACAGCGAAAAAAGTGCAAAGTATTCTTTTATTCTTAACCAACTTGCGTTAAACGAAACACTACCAAAACAGCGCCGTTTCTCCCCGGAAATGTATTCATGGAGCGCTGCGTTCTACTCCAAATCTCGAAGTGCATACAGATACTGTATTTTTGTGGCAAGACTACGGTTTTCTTTTTTAAAGAAATGTTTTACCAATAATTTTGTAGGTTTTGCAAAGATACATTTGCTCTGACACTGCCCAGCAAGATATCTTTTGAATAAAATTATGAAACCGTTTAAGTGCGGCCCGGGTCTCGGCGAGGGCCAGTTGAAGCTATTGGACACATCAGCAAAAAAATACGACGGTATTCGTAAACGCATAATTCTTCTGCACCCGGACGAAATTAATGTTCGTCCATCATACTCCTATAAAGGAGGAAAGGTACGCTCAAGAGGAAAGTTTTAGTGACTATTCAAATTTTAGTAAATCTACCCGGAATATAATAAAAAAATGAAAAAAAAGTCGATTTGTTGTTTTATGTTTTTTTAGATTACAGGTCAATCCGAGACTGGAAGGGCGCAGCAACATCCATTTTAGGATTCATGATAACCGGGTTGCTTTCTGACCTGCGAGAAATGGTGGCTATGTTTCCGGTTAGCAATGTGAAAGCCGAGGATATTTATCAGAAAACATTACGGATTATCGAACAGTTGGAGGAGAAGGGCTTCATGGTTTTCGCGGTCCTCTTGGACAACCACAAAAAAAATAAGCGTTGTTGTTCGTTATTCTGTAAAGCAGTGTTAAAATTGATCCCAGGGTGCTGCATACTGACAGGTAATGTGCTACTTCATGTTGAGTAAAATTGAAAAAATACACTTGTATTCAGCATTATATTTTTTAGCCAAAATTTCTAACGACTGCATTGAAGGAACATTCGGATCATACCGACAACTTTCGGGAGCTAGCAACTTAGTTTCTGTTTCCGAGGTGTTTGTGTCTCAGGCCAAGTTGCGGGTGAGCGGCTATTTGAAAGCGCATAAGGTTCCTTTCGGTGTTTCAAAGATCGATCGTTCTTTAACTTCTCGTGAGATAACCACAAAAGTCCACAATTGATTGTTCGACACAATTGGCTGAGTGGTTTAATCAACTTTAATGCCAATGTGGATCCCGCACTTCATTTTCCGGATAAATTAGACAAAAAAGATAATGGAATACTGACTTTTATCGCAGGATATTGCGCCTTCAAAGTGTGCCGAAAAATTTGTTGTCAAGAATGTCGTGCAGCTTTAAAAATGAACAAAGTGATGCCGTACCAGTTGGATGAGAACTGTGAATATAATCTGATTCGTAAGTTGAACAGAGGCGGATTGACGTATCCATCAGGTTCTGCGATGATGACTGCACGGTACTGCTATTTCGTTTTTTCGATCTTCACAAAGGGTGAGGGAGAAGATCTGTTCTTGCATGGAAACGTATCTCACCGAACTGCTATTATGCAGATATCCGAAAAATATTTGCAAGAGCAGTGCACAGATATGATGGAAACCAGTTGTAATGGATGGGGCGAATCTTTTGTCAACCTGTCGCGTAAAGTTATAAAAGTCTGCACAAATACTTTATTAAATGGATTTCAGAGAAAGAAGAACGATGAAATTTCAAGAAGTAAAAGAAAAGTTGGTGTTTCTGATGTGTCTGATCGTAAAATTAAGAAGTTTAAGAAATAAATTGTGTGCTGGTTGGTGCATGTCATATATTGGGTTCAGTGTGCTGCGTCTCCACTGTTTTGATACAGCAGAGTTCGATTTTATGCCTTAGTCTTACGTGATGCCTCGATCACCACTATGTCCTCTTTTGACAGTTAGTGCAACGGATTTCGCGAAAACTCAGCTTTCTGAGTCAAAACATCAGATTCTGGCGTAAATGGATGAGTCAGTATGATCTAAAGACAACAGAAAACATTCTGGGTTTTATGAGTTGAGTACTAGTAGAGAATCATCACGATTACTCGATGCAACAAAACCCTTTCCAAGCTCATTGATGTTAACTAATTTTCTCATTTTCACATGAAATGCCACATAAAAGCAACTGCATACGGGTTCTCAACTCGCTGACTGAATAATTGTAATTGTTCATGGAATTGCATATGCCACAAATTCCATATCCCTTGAGGGTTTTTGTACGGGGTACGACAATTGCTGTTGGCGTCGCAAAATAACCGGAGGACATAAAGAGATTTTTCCTCTTTATTTTGCCCCTGACAATCCAGTCCATTCGTTGCTTAGTCTGAAGTCAAGTCAACTACTGTCCGATCGGAAATTTTTAGCGCGGAGGTGAAAATAAGGGATGTGCTTATACAAAACCTTACAGAGACTGAGAATGCTGCAGCACTGCGCACCCATATATAGATATCTAAAACAAACTCAAATTTAGAATCAGGATATACCGGTAGCAGAGTACGTACAGCGCGCATACAACCACACTCATTATAGTATGTTTGAGCTAAAAATTTCCGATCGGAATGTACAAGCACGATTTCGCTACCTTGATAAGTGTAGTAATAGCTATGTCATGTTTCGCTACCGTTTGCTGTGCACAGGAAGGTCTTTTTCTGAATCTAAATTCCAAAGGTTTGTACTGATACTGCATGAAATGCAGCGAGAAGTGCACCTAATTCTTGGGACGACGTGCTTTTTTTAACATGTTCCACGTCGAATTCGGAAGGTAATTAAATGCGGCTGCGAAAGGCTTTTATGCAAAATAAAGGGCAAGCTCGTACCTTGCAAAATACCGTGGAAATGTTTAGTGGACGCAACTTATTTTTGAAATTGTTTGTACAGCTGGCTGGTTTGCGCAGCGGTTTTTAAGCAACTGATTTGAACAACGTCCCTTCCG